AGGGGTGCAGGTGATTATTTGTTCCTTGGAGTGGTTTTTAATGACGGTGATGGCGGGGCAGGCCAGCTGGGGTTCGGGCTCCCAGGGGCTTCTGCGATATCGGTGCCTTTCTGCCGAATTTCTCGGATTAACGAAAGGGCCTTTTAACCCTCGAGGGTGCCTGGAGAAAAGTCTCCAGGTTTGGTTCTGTTTCCCCCTTCTGTTCGACACTCGGGGAAGCTTCGTCCTTCGGTGGAAACCAGTTGTGCTGTTCTACTGAAACACGGAGCATATTTGTTTATACCTCTGTGGACCGATGCGGGGAGCGGAGGCACAGAGGGCGCGGACTGCTGCTTACCTCGGGCGTAGGACGTCCTTCTAAATCTGCCTGGTGTGCGGGCCTGGGGTTCTGACGGAGGCTGTCCGCGGCCTGCCGGGCGTGGGTCCCAGCTGTGCTGCTGAAATATCCCCCAGCCTAGTCAGTATTCCCTAGCTCAGACTTTTTTGTGGTGGTTATTCTGCTGATTGAAGATATCTTTGCTTTGCTGACATCCTGTTTTGTTTTTTGTTTTTACATCCCATTTGTTGTTTCTTTTTATCACAGAAACGCTTCGTTAAGGGGCTCAGGCAGTACGGCAAGAACTTCTTCAGAATTAGAAAGGAGCTGCTTCCCAATAAGGAAACAGTGAGTACAATTGGACTTTATGTAACTTGATTTTTTTCCTCTGCTCCCGCTGCTTCTCTGCACTTGATCTTACGAAATGGTTTCCTTTAACCCTGCGTTGTGCTCGGACTCAAGCTGGCCTCTTAAGATCCTATTCATTTTACTTCCTTCACTTTTAGTTTTAGTTCATGATTCTATCTAGATCGTTAAGTGACAGATTATACTTATCCCCACCCCCAAGAAAGCGGATTTCTGAACAGAAAAGTCTGGCAACAGAGGGTTGGTTGCTGGGCGGTGGGTGTCTGGGTTGTTGGAGAGTCAACTAACTTTAAATACAGTGACTGAAACAGAAAAGATCATGTCTGACTACTTTGGATTTGGTTATTGACAAAATTCATCAACAAACAATAGAGTTAAGAGTGAATTTGTAGCTCACTATACTTTGAATTCCCGTGGGACTTTTTATTTCATGTAGCTATGTTTCAAAGAGTACTTTTAACTATTTTTTTAACCCTAGAAGTTTGTACTTTTTATTGGACAGATACATAAGAGTTCCTAGAAATTCTTTAGAACGAGGCTTTTAAAAATTCCTTTGATACTTCACAAAGCTGAGAATCAGATCTCATGAGTGCTCTTGCTAAACCTGGGGTAGGCGGGTTTGCTATGGAAAA